AAACAAAACAACGGTCAAGAATTAGAAGTACAAAACGAGGATTTGTTAAGAAGAATGTCGGAGGATTTCGATATAAGCCAAGAGGAGACTGGTTTTCCTTTGCTAAAGTAAGGAAACTTTGCTTCTTTTGATCCTGTAAACAAACGTTGGTTTTCACGAGACTCACCAGCGCATGTGCAACGCCGACATCTTACGTCATGCTCCCGGAACTGCTTCCGTGTACAACTGTTGGCGCAAGCTAGATTAAAGTGATTATTACGTTTTGAATATGGATATTTTTCTTACAAAAACGCATCGATTCGCAACAGGAGGCCTTTGTTCACCCCCCCGAGCCGTGTGAGGCACTTTTTATTATGGATGGATGCACTTTATTTCACTTCTTTTGGACTGATGAACTGCAACAGCCACTGACTGCTATTAAACCGCTTGGAAGATCAAAGACAATTTTTAATATAACTCTGATTGGATTCATCTGAAAGAAGAAAGTCATATACACCTATGATGCCTTGAGGGTGAGTAATTCATGGGCTAATTTTCATTTTTGGGTGAACTATCCCAATTTCATCTTCATTTCAATAAAAATGTGAACATTAATTTACCAAAAATATTTCTTTTATTTTTTAAATATTTTACTTTTATTGAATATCAGCAAGATTTTCTTTATCATACATCCCTGTTTTTCCTCAAACATATCCCAAAATTGCTTTCTTTCCCCCTTTTTGTTCTTGCAGCCATTAGTAACAGCGTAGCAACTGTGTGCAATGGTCCAGGAGACATAAGCTGTTTAGACTCCCCGTATTTCCCCCCTCTGGAGAGTTTACACCGAGGAGCCCTGAACCATGATGATCAGCTCAGCTATGCTACAAATGGAGACAGCGGCTGCCTCAACATGCTGGATTCTGGCTTCTACCGCTCGGACCTGAGCCAGATCAGCGTGTGCAGCACCAAAGACTGCGAACGACCCTCCAAGAGGCTCAAGATGGGCCTTTCGGAGTCCTTCATCAACGACGTGTCTGTCACTAACCTGGACTTCGAGGGCAGACGCGCACATCGCATTACAGGCGCCACAATGGCAGTGTCGGTCACAGACTTCAGCAGCATAGGGAGCAGCGAAACTAACGGTTTTCTCGGCTCTCATTCACGACACCACCAACACACTGCACTTCAGTCCGACTGACTCTCTTCTGCCATCCAGACACACATTCATCCGCTCACTGACTATTAGTTCTTTTTTAAATTAAAAAAAATATCTATATATATGAATATACTTTTTGGTCGTTTGTTTGTTTGTTTTTGTAATATGACATCAGTGATGTCTTTATTGCACAGAGCTAAGAAATCTTGATTTCTCAAGAGTTTAAATAGCCATTTATTTTTCTGGTCCTTCAGATATTTAATATCCTTTTTGTCTTCGGTGATATACAGTTCAACCTAAATGCTGGAGCAGAGAGCCGTGGTCTCTTACTGTACTCTTCCCGACACCTGCATCTTTAAGTTTTACTGTCTCACAAAGTTGTCGCTGCCACCGAAACTGCATTTTTTGTTGTTGATGTTTTAGGATTTTCCATGTATGTGTGTTTGTTTCAAAACTTGGTACTTTTTTTCAGTGTTCACACCACACGAGATCGACTAAGCCTTGGGAAATGTAGCATTTTGTATATCAGGAAACTGGCTTTTGTAATTGAAAATAGTGATTTCTTTGGAGCAAAAGACAAAAAACAAAGAAACAAAGAGCAAAGAGCACTTCTAGTTGCTGAGATGTTTTGGCCTCTTTTTTATTTTTATTTATTTTTTTCATAAAGGATGCCTTGAGATATCCATGTTTTTTTATTATCCAAATGAGGTTTTGGATCTCGTTATTGGTTGGTGTTCGAGTTAGGATGTTTTTAAGTGTAAGCTTTAAACTCAATTTATTGTGGTAATCCGAACATTTAATAACCTTTTTTTTTTGGTTGATGCTTTTTCTTCTATTTTTCCCCCCTTTTATATTTTACTTAATTCTCAAGTAGCATGACTGAAATGAACACCGATTGAATCTTTCTCAACTGCGCACTGTAAAAAATGTAGATTTTCCAGTCCCCAAGTTTTCTTTTTGCCCAAGATTTGGCACTCAAATAATAATGTAAGCTTCAATATCATTACATTAGACAGATTGGCTCTATAGGGCAGTCATCTGCACTTGACAGTATTATCATTAGTTATGTATAAATATTAGACTGTGAGAAGTGATGTTTATGATTCCCCTTTGAGCTTATGAAGCTGTTTAAATGCTACTCATTACTATCACAGGTTATTTTTACTTTTTACAAATCATCAGCAACTTCTGCTGGTGCTCTAAACTGCAGGCGCTTTAGTACCGATTAAACCAGTGTTATTTTTATTTTCAGTTATGCATTATGTATATTTTGTAGCTGCCAGGGGTACTGAGAACACCTGAATGTTAATTGAGCTAATTTGTTAATTACTTTTTACCTGTCTTTATGTTAAGCTCACTGTCTTAAGTTCTTTACCATTGTTGTATATTGTATGCATGAAGCAGATTGGACTCTTGATCCTTTTGACATATTTCAAGCTGATTAATATTAAATGCCAAAAAGCAGTCAGCTTGCCGCACTGTATCAAAACCGATACTGCCTCTGAGCTTGAGTCCTTCCTGCTATTTGCATTTTAAAACAGCTTACCATAGAATAAATTTGTATACTAAAAGCCCTGACTTTGATTAGGGTATTGCAGAATGCTAAAAAAAAATTTCTTGTTTATGGCAGTAATATGTAGATATGTATAGATTGTTGTACTTCTGTAAGTCTTACAACATCCATAGCTTATTTTTCCCTTTTTTTTTGTTTACTGCAGTAAGACGTCAAAAAGATGCATGCTGATGGTAGTCGTTTGCAAAAAATACCACAGCATTTTTTTTTTGAGAGAGATGGAAAATTGTAGAAATGGAAATAATTTATGGACACTCCTATTTAAAAACATTTGTTCATCTCTTTGTTCAGTAGACTGAAGAGTTTCATTGTTCACCGTGATTCTTACACCCGATACTTAACGGCTGCTATTAGTAATGTGAAGAGTCTATTTTCTATTGAATACACTGCTGTTGCAATTATAAGTTGAGTTGAAAGTCTTGTGCATCTACATAGTTACTACATAGAGAAGTGCTTGTTAGTAGCATGTTTGGAGCTGCGAATACAGACGCGGATTGAAATGGATCCATAGATGCCATTATTCCTTGACAGGGATTAGAAAGCACTACAAAGAGTTGTTTTCAGTATCTGTACATCCAGCAGAGAACTTTATTGTGTTCAACATACGACAAATGTAGTACTTGGTGCTCATATAAAAAGTTTTTATTTTCATACTTTCAACGGTCTCTGCTCCTATTATGTTTTAGTACTTTTTATGAATGATACAGTGAATTTCAGCTTTGCTGAAGAATTTCTGAGTTTGCTGAAGTACATTGACAGTAATTGTACCCCCAAATATTTGCATAGTTTTATTTTAAAGACAAACTAAAATAACAGAATGTACAGGTTGTTTTGACCTATAGAAGTAAACATTTTACATCTTAAAAATGTTGAGAGAAGTTTGGTAAATTGTCCTCTGTGGATTCGGGTGTGTGTTTTTTATATATTTAATTTAGAAATGTAAAATAATTATTAAAAAAAGAGTTTTCACATTCAACCATGGAGGGGGAGAACTCAGTGGTAAAAATCTGTGAATAAAACCAACAAATCCTATAAATGTATTTCCATATATACAGACAATCATTACATTTAATTACAGAATTATTCAGATATCTCTATTGTTTATATGTACATATAATTCTATTGATTTTTGTTTGGTTTTTCATTATTTTGTATTTTTGTTGTACTTTATTACTTGGTGTAAAAAGCTCCAGAAATAAAAGCTCTGGAAACAACTGTGTGCTTATTTGAAAATAACGACATCCCTCTCCACTATTTTAAGTCGAAGAAAAAAAAAAAAGACAGATGGTGGTTGTGACTAAAAATAACCCAAGCTTTCAACAATGAGTAAATATTTGAATCATTCAAATCCACAATACTCCTAGTGATCCATTTTGTTCAGACCTGTAGAATATGCTGGCACTCAGATCGGTGCTTTTCTCTGACTCCAGAACACATAATGAAATGGAAGAGGAAATTCATAAACTCTGTTCATGATGGTCAGAAGAGGGGCTGGCCAGAGTAGCCAGTACATCACAAGAGTAAATGACAGACGGACTTAAGAATAAGAAGGCAAAGAGTTCTGCATTTTAATGCAAGCACAGAGCACCTGAATAATGAAACAACCAATCACAATCTGTATGTACAATAAAACGAATTTATTTAGTTGGTTTGGTTTGCTATATGACATTATGAACTCCTCTTAAGACTGAGAAAAAAAAAGTCAGGCAACAGATTTCTGCAAATAGAGTCTGATTGAATGAACTGGACAGACTGGACCACAGTCACTCTGGTCCACCACGCTGAAAGAAAGAAAGAAAGAAAAGATGCTATTGTCAGTGGTTTGTCCATGTTCATGTCCATTTTTATTGTAAACATCACAGCATTAGTCTAAATTTCTTTTTAGCTTCAGAACAGAGTTACACAGTATTTAACAAAATATTCTTTACTTTCTTGATTTGTAAAAACATGTGAACATTAACCTGAATGTAGTCCATTTCATCTAACGCAAGGGTTCTTCTGCGGTATTTCTGAGGGAGATCTCTAACTACATCAAGGCTGTCAGGGGTGCCAGGCAGTCGGCTGACGGGTCCCGGTGGTTTGGGTGGAGGTGATACTGATGTTGTAGGTGGAGGTGCAGATGGGGAGATCTGTGGGAGACAGGCTGCAAGCACATTCAGTGCCTCTTGCACTGAAAATACAGCACATGGAAAATATGTTACCAACAAAGTAGTGGTGAGCCAGCTTTAGAGTTTGCTACCATGATTTAAATACTAAATATCCATCTGAATGAATGAATGAATGAATGATATTCAGAAATATCCATCTGCCACAATCGTTTAAAAAATGATTGTTTGTTTGGTGTCTTAAATTTACTATGCTTGCTATTAAAAGCATTTTGGAGACTGCAGAGTGAAGCATCTCATGTATTACACAAATAAAAATTACTTAATACTTAACTAAACTCAATGACAAAATTTAGACAACATATGGGCTTGTTACTGACCACTTGGCCTAGGGATGCCATTCCGATCTGGAAATTTAATTAAAGGTGCATGAGGTCGCACAACCTGCAAATGAATAAATCTAATGAGAACAGTAAAACAAAACAGTTGTGCATAAGTGACTTGTCTACAGCAGGGCTTCTGGAGGTTTTAAGAAAGTAAATGTAAGAATTTACACCTTTATTTAAGACCTTGTTTAAGATCTTTTTAAAGGCCTTTCCTCCCAACGTATGGTTTTCTGTAAATTTGATCAAAATAAAGTGAGTTTATAATTAAATCAAGAACAAATATCTGCTAGTGGGCTCAGGAAAAAAAAAAACATTCAAAGAAAAAACTGTTTTCACACTCCATTGACAGATATTTGCTCTTGTTTTAATCATAAACTCACTTCATTATGCTCAGTTTCTCAGAAAAACAGATTTTATATCTTTATTTTGCATCTCAAGTAAATGTATCCTGATTTAAGGACATTTGGATATTTCTATCAGAAACCTGCATGACTATGAATTTAAGACTTTCTGCTCTGATTTAAGACGTTTTAACACTTTAAATTGTGGAAAGGTGAAGTACAACTCTAAGTCTTAATTAACCTGCAGAAACCCTGTATCTGTGCTTCATTCAAGAGACTGAACAAAAAAACTTAGGCATATTCTGAATATTTAGAGATTGCATTTTATTGTACATAATGCTTAATATTCTGTTGAGATGACATTGTGGTTTACAGGAAAGAAATAAAGAAATATACAGAGAAGAAACTTGGTTTGTCCACAAGGGCATCTGGCAAACCAGTGAAATCAATGCATTTTGGTGAAGTAAACACACTCAAGATCAAAATTACTAAATACTAAGCAGATAAGTGATCACCGTTTCAACAATGCACCCATATGAACGAGATGTCACAGCAAAACACTACGTGTACAAGCTGAAGCGAGTGTTTACCTGCACGACACGACTGGCAGCTGCCATCTTGCTACTCACTTTGCTTCCCATGACGACATCCGATTACTGCTTCCGGTTCAAACACACGCAGACAAAACCATAAAGAGTACATTAGCAACCTGAAGAGGGCGCGGTTGTATTATAACTTAAAGGACAAACGCGGCAAACAAACAGCGATTGGAAGACTGAGTCGTTTCCGAAAATCGGTTCTTTTGAACAATTCGTTTAAAAGAACTGGTTCAACAATTATCTCGAATCCTTCAGACCGACTCTACAAACCGACTCAACTGATTCACTGAAAAGACTCGACCTAAAAAAACGTTTTGATCGCTTCTGCTTTTAGACTTGGCAACCAGGCGAGGCCATGTAAGGACTATAAATATATAAAGGACAATTAATGTGTACGTGTTGCATTAATTATCTAGAATTAACTACAACCGTTATGTTTACTGATACAGTGCGAGTCTAGCGCAGAGAAGCTGTCCCATTACTGAATCATATGGAATGAACTTGAAACAGGCTGTCAATTCATGCACACATACATGCAAATGTATCTAATTAATGAGTTTTTATATCACACATCAATAATACATTACTGCAGCACAACGCAAAATTAATTTATTATACAAAAGCTCATCCTGCTAACATTCATCACAAGTGGTTCTGCCTTTAAAATAATGCTACATTTCAAATCTATAGAGCCACGCTTCCTAATAAGCACAATAAACATACAGTCTTACCGACAAGACGCTATCTAGTATTGTATTATAACCTTATTTTTCCATGTTGACCTCCGAAATTCCGAAACACACTATACACTGTGCTTACAGTGGCCTGGCTGTGGCGGCCAATCCTTCATTTCTGCTCATGTTTAGTTTGATGCAGGTGGGCGGGGTTTCGAGGGTCACTCTGGTCACATGACTGTCATGTGACGTCAAGACTTCCTGGCGGCAGTTTCAGACGGGGTTGAAGTCGCGCTGCTCGGACTCGTGCAATAAAATAAGGAATATTAGTAAACAAAAGCCGCAACAGAAAGAACAAGAAGCGACGGTAAGTGAAACAAGTTGTTTAAATACGCTCACTTGGTGAGTGTAGTTAAAAAAAAAAAAAATCTTTATCCGGTAATTATAACAGGGGTTTGGAAAAGTATGGATTTTGATTTAAGTATTTTACAAGTCTGGAAAAGTATGGAAAAAAGAAAGCAAAGTATGGAAAAATATGTGTGTTTCCAGACTTTTGCCCCTATTTAGTTTTTTATAATGGAAAACACTTTAGTCTTTGCAACTTCAGGGATCTTATCTATGCACAATCAGCTTGTAACACTCCAAAGAGAAAGGAAAACTTGAAATCGCATCATATGACCCCTTTAATGAAAATAAATGTACTGTACAAGAAGTGAGTTTCCATGGCAGCTGTTAAGTGATTCTTTAGTGATTGTCAAATACCACTGAATTAATTCAAAGTGCATTTTTCATTATGCAAAATGCAGGTTATAATCATATTAGGTTTCTTCTCATGATTTTCTTAGCACCGTACATAGCCTCAAGGACCTTTGCAAAAATAAAAAATATACTGACATTTATGTGCGCACAAGAAACCATTAAACTTAGCATTTAGGACAATACACACTGAGGCACCTATTGTGCCATCAGCCCATTTCACAGTGTTTTTAATTATTAAGACATAAGGCCTTGTGAACTTGGCAAATTTTATGCCATCAGCCCATTTCGTGTCATGGTTTCTCCGCCGCCACAGAGGATGTGTTCAATTGGACATTAGGCCTTTATATTAGAGGTACTACTAGCCAATTTTTGAGCAAGTAGATCACTGTTAATTCATATGCATCCATTCTCTCGTTTTATAGTAAGATGGTAGTGATGCACAAAGGAAATAGGTTATATAAAACTAGAAATTGTAATATGTAAGCATGCAATAAATTCCCATGCACATGTGAAGAATTTCTCGAGGGGACAAAAAGTTTCTTGTGTGCATGTAAAAGTCTGTGTGTGTGTGTTTTTTTAGGGGCTCTGTATGTTGTCACTTAGAGAAAATCAATGAAAAAAACCTTGAGAAAATAAAAAATATTTGCAGATGGCTGTACTATATACAAAATATAAAGCTGAAAATCAGGGCCGTTGCTAGTGGGGTGAAAAGTGGTGACGACTATAGGGGCCCACGGCTGAGGGGGCCACCCCCTGCGATTTCAACCGACTGCCCAAGGCCAGCATAAAAAGACGGCCTGCGCATCATCACGAAAGCTTATCAATTGCACGTGTTTTAAGTCTTGCCAATTTAAACATTCAAAACAGTTTAAAGCATTCAAACACAAGACGTGGAAAAACTCAACTGAGAGTTCGGGGCACACGGAGAGCCGCGCAAACACCGAATTGAGCTCTTCTGCGCTTCTTCCCGTGCCTGGACGAACAAATACACCTCACCAGTTTAAACATACAAACACAAGAAGCACCCGCACGCTGTTCTGTGCGCACAGCGCCCACTCAGAGAGCCGCGTCTCACAGCCCTTGAACACCGAATTGAGTTTTGTCTCTTCTTGCTCTTGAAACGACAAATACGTACAGCATTGTCACAATACCTGTCTTTGCGAGCATCCTCGAAAAAATTGTCGGTTATGTCTTAAGTGAAAGTAAACAGTTGAGAAAGAAATTGAATGTGTACCGTTATATTGGATGTATTGTCTCTTAAAGTGACCGCGCCTAATTTACTAGCTGCTGTCAGTGTCCATAATGTTAATTAATTTATACAGTGAAGACTATGCAATGCTATTTACATTTGATTATTCAGTTTCTGTACCTGGACACCTACAAACTTGAAAAATCTTAAACATTGTTTAATTTGTATATTTGTTTATTTGTGCTATTTACACAATTTCAAACAGGGCCCACGGGTACAACCTGCACCGGGGCCCCGCAAACCCCAGCTACGGCCCTGCTGAAAATAATGGTCTATAAACCATTTATGTTAAATATGGTCTGAAAATCTACTGAGAGGTTTGGAAATTTGAGGCTGGAAAAGTATGGAATTTTGAAATGGAAAATGTGTAGGAACCCTATTATAAACAACTGGAAAGTCACTGGAATTCATTGGTTATGAGGTGCGAGAACATTGGACCCAGTCAAAGCTCATTTGGCACCTATTTTAGAAACTTTAACTCTGTTATATCAATTATGTTGTATAAATGATCTATTTTGTTTCATAAATGTAAAATAAATCTATATACGTTTTAAATCTGGGGTCTCTGAAACCTTGAAATTTGAATGGGATTAATGGTGTTTTTATTTCTGCACAGACATACAATGATGAGTCTCAGTCATCATGATGAACCCTCTTCAGATGTTGATCCAGTTGAAATGAACAACAGTCTGCCTGATACAGCATCAGCTTCTGATGGGGTGACACCCACACGTTTATTAAAGTGATTTCCTATTATTTCATTATTTTGTTTGAATGATTTGTTATCTTCTTGCACCATTGGGCAGAGCACTAATTAACAGTATATAACTACTATATACTGTTATATACTATGTATTGTATTCTATATATATACAATGATAGATAAATAGAACTATACTTAGTCTGTTTCTTGTATGTCTTGTTTTTCTCTCCTCAAGAATGAAAGAAATCATGGAAAATCAGTGCTTTGAAATGAATGTTAAAGTCAGCATGGGTAAGCTCAAATTTATATGTGAATAAAGAACACTTATGCAGATATTAACCACTAATAATTAACCTAATGCTAATTGTAGTGTTTGTTTCTAAGGAAAACATAAAGAGTCATGTGAAGCTGATGCAGACCTGTAAGTGTTTTTGAATTTATGAATGTATCTGTTTATATACTATATGTTCTAAAATAACCTGACATTTATATTATTAACAATCTGTAGGTCCAAGTATGAAAGTGAAATTGAGCAGGCAAGACTCTCATATTTCAACAAAACACTGGTATTGAACAGGTAAAGATGCTGTGGTATCAAGGATTTTTTTTTTTTTTTTTTTGGAATCCAGTGTCCATGTGTCCAAAATGATTCTTTGTTTTTGTGTAGAATGCAGATTTGGAATGCCATCATTGAAAAGATGATTCAGAATGATGCAGATGCTGAGTGAGTGAATCCTAATTTAAATAAATCTTATCTAGGTATTCTGATATTCAGTTGTCCCCAACTTTCGTCATGCAGGGCACTAAAAGAACTGACCAATCAGAACACTGAGCTCTGTGAAAAGACCTTGAAAGTTTTAAAGGTGGGACATTCCCTGCTCCGTTTTAGAAAAAACATTGTAATTTTTATGAATAATGCAATTTCTAAACACTTTTTTGGCCATAGAATACTTAATTGCTGATCCTTTTTCCAGGAAACACGAGAGCTTCAGGACCAGATCACAGATGTCCAAAAGGAAAGACTTGGTACTTACTGTTTTAATTACACTTGCTGACTTACATCCAGGCTAAGATGGAATCATGCAGACTTTTTAAAAGCATTTTATGCTGTGTTTTTATTTTTCATTTGAAAGCTTGTTTGACAGGATGTAACAATTCTGATGGGTAAAATGTTCATTTAAAACTGAAAAAAGAAAGCTGCAATCACATTTTCAGTATGCTGTTTAGTAGAAAATAATCTCATTCATGTTTTCCTAGACCTAAAAGGACAAATTAAGAAGAAAATGCAGGAGATAAATGAGTTGAAACAGGTGAAGGAAAACCAAGGAGAAGTTCAACAGAGAGCCAAGGAAAGAGCTGAAGCAGTCCTACAGAAATACCAGAAGGTCACCACCATTTTACAAAATGTGCTGCGGGTATGTAGCTTCTCAATGCTTGCTTGTGTACTTATCATTCTAATTTAATCTATTTTACGTTTTTTTTTTTTTTTTTAAGAAACACTGCATTTTGAACCGCTGTCATAAAAATCTTACTTTCAGGGAATCATACTGGCCAGTAAAGTCAACTGGAGGGATGATCCTAAATTAAGGGACATTGCAATGGGACTAGAGAACATTCCCAACTAAAGACCTGTATGAACAGTTCTCCAATGTATGTAATTTACCTGTAAATGTGCTCACTGTTACCATGTTCAGAGTAATGTATATTTAAGCTTTTTATAACGGCTCAGTTGAGAATGTTTTAAAATCACTCTGAATATAAGATAAATGATATTAGATTAAATAAATTGCTTTTACCAATGAATTTACTTTTTAAAATAAAGTTCTGACTGATCCTTCAATAAAGGTTGATATATAACCACATTCACCACATTCAGTACTTCTGTAATGCCATGCATTTAGGTGAAACAGGTTATTCAACAAGTAAAAAGGCCATTTCACACAGAATCAAGCCAGACCTGAATGCTTAATGGCTAGTTGGCTTTTTGATTAACATTATCCAATAGCCTGTTGTCTAAGTAACGTCAGTGGTACAGAAAAGAAGAAAAAAAACATTGTTTTGGGAATAACATGCACTGATGAATCGTTCACAGTAAGACCAGGAATGTGCAAGATAAGTTTTGATTTTGTTGACATGGTAACTAGACAACAACTGGACAAAACAGCCTTTTACAAAGTATTTTATTTTCCAGCCACTTTAAGTGAAAAGTTTTAATACAGACAAAAAAAAATACAGACATGATTTAATAAAGTTCAAGCAGTAGAAAGGATAAATTGTATCATATTTTCACCACCTGTCCTGCAATACATGGGCTCACTCTCTTCCCCTCCACCAGCACAGGGTTTGGCTGAATGAGTAACCTTCCGTAAGTCCCGCCCACCTGTCCTTTAGTGAGACGGCCAGGATTGACACACACACAGCCAATCACATCCTGAGAAATAATGGAAAATTAGTTTTCCAGTCAGAATTGAAATAACCTTTTATTTGACATGGTATATAAATAAACGTATCTGAAAATGTGAGTGATTTACCTTGATGAAATACCGAAGTTCAGAAGGAACGATAAGAATATCAGGTGTGAGGTTCATTTGGCTGAATTGTTGAAACTTGTCATAATCCATGTTAACTTCCTCCGCAGGAGGATAGAGAGGATAATAGCTAAAAGAACAATGAAATGAAATCTCAGGAGCACAGACAAACAACATTTTACTACTAATTAAACCTGAGGTAATTTCATTTGAAAGATGAGAAATGAATGTGTTCTACAAACCTCCTCTGGGTCAACATGTGTTTCATGATCCGTGTGAAACGTTCTGTGCCCGTGCCACTGCAAAAACCATAATTATACCATAAATCAGTGCTTGTGCTCACTCATTCCTCTGAAGAAGTTATTCTTTTTAAATCCACTTAATGTTAATGAAATAATGTAAGTTCACATGTTAGTTGTAGGTTGTTTTCATGCTAGAATTACTAGTTGGTTCAGTATTATTACCAGCTGATCTCTTCTGCTCCCATATGAAACAAAATGTCTGTAGAGGTCAGGCCAAATGTCACATTACTGATGAGGAGCGTGCAGGGGTCAGGAGCTAAGGTCACTTGCTAGGGGTGGAAAATGTATATTGGACAACAAGAGTAGAAATAGAAACAGTTTAATTATTCAGGTAAAGCATTAAGACTTATTAAATAAAGCCATGTCTTTCTAATTCAGTTTGCCCTGAATCACACAAATGATAAAATATTAATCACCAGCACTTAAAAATAAAGAGGACGGCCAGTTACATTCAAAGCATGTAGCTAATCATCTCACCGCTGAATCATCTTTGCTGAGGTTGCTCAGGTTGAAGGGTGGCTGAGGATAAATGTAATGATGATGGACATCCCTCTGAGACGGCACAAACACCAACCTGCATCCCGACCTATAATAAAAGAATGCGTGCAATGAAAACACACGGTTGTACATTGTGAGTACTTTCTATAAAGATGTGAAGAAAAAAAAAAAATACAAACCCTTTGGTTCCTTCCACTATGCTATCCACACATCTCTTGAAGATGGTTTCAAATGTTTCCGTTACCTGGTTTTTCTGTTAAAAAGACATCAAGTGGTTAAATTTGTGGCAATTATGAAAAATGTTAATATAGGAATTTCAAATACATACGAAATCTGGATTACCTCAATCTGCTCATGTTTGGAATCAACAAAAGGCCCAAGCTGTAAGAGAAATACAGTTAATTACTAGTCAAGATTCCACAAATTTAAATACATTTAATTAAAATGTCCATAAAAGCAGTCACACTGTTACATGCATTAGGTTGTCACAATTGTAGATTGTTGGACTAAAACACAACAGAAATGTGTCTAAAGCTGTACCCACCAGAATGCACACATCAGGCCGATCTTTATTGATGATAGTAATGAGGTCAATCAGAGGGTCATAGGTCAGACTTTCAGAGGGGGTGTACGGTCCACAAGTCATCACAACCATCACAGGCTCAGACACTGAAAAAGTGTGTTATGAAGGGTATACTGTGAGCATTGATCTCAACAGTGATGTTCTTGATACATTTTTTGCTAATCTTACCTTCATTCATTTCTTGTTTCACTTCAGGAGGACAGTGAAAAGGCAGGGGAATACCCTGGTGGAGAAACAAATCACAGAATAAATATCATAACTCATTAGTCAACAAATTCTAACCTATTCCAAACAGGTTTAAACTAAAAAGAGTCATATGCGAGAGATACCTCATATAATTTGGTAGCAACAAACTTCTCCCCAGAGGGATTCATACCTTCCATGACAACAACCTACAAAAGAGAGTAAGAGAATGTTGCTAATATAGATAAAAGGGAGATAATATAGATAAAAGAGATGGGAGAAAAAAATACTTTTTCCAATACATGTTCTTTCTCAAATGAAAACTAATTTTAGGTTCATTATTAATAATTCTGGTTCATGCAATTATATGCAATATAATATCACTTAGTAATAAGATGAAGATGAAAACAAATATATAAGAAAAAAAAAATGCATCAAATTGTAGGCATGTATCTCACCTGTCCAGGAAAAAGTGAGAACTCTTTGAGCTCAGACAGATCCACAGGCACCTGTCTGCCCCCCTGTTCCTGTCCGGCCTCCAGCAGCACAGATTGGGCATTGAGCTTCCCGTTACTGTCACAACACACTTGGCCCAGCACTGTGATGCTATCCTGCGAGAGAGAAAGAAAATGAGATCAGTTAGTTAAAATGGATACACACACACTGCAGAATTAACTTTTGCAGATAAATATTTTCCTTTTTATCACTTCGAGAATAGAATTCTTTAGCCTCTTTTCCTTATTTAGTCATGATGATGTCTGTGCTTGTACCTGAACAGGTAATGAAACTGCAGAGAATTCCTCTATGTTAAAATGACTCCGGAGTTCTTCTCCAAGTTCTTCAATCTTTTCAGTCAGAACTATAGATGAGATAGAGAACATCAATAAATATCTAAAAAACACAATCTGTATGTTTCATGCAACACACACACAAATCTACATCCTGCCATGCAGGTAGAATGGTTTCAGTAATTGTGGAAGAATCCACATCCAACATAATGCACATTTAAAAAAGAACAATGCTTTGTCAATGAGAACACGGCCTCACCGTCCCGCACGTCTCTCAGTCTCTGGAACATGTATTTGTAGCTGCTGATGAGTGAATTCTCTCCTCCTTCCAGCATCTCGACTCTCACAGAGCTCTGTCCTTTACCCGTCCAACGAGGACCCTGCACCGCCCCAAACGAAGAAACCACCTCTCCTCGCCCACCACGCATGCCGTATTTTTGAGAAGGCGTTGCACTTCACAAACACATAACACAACTTTATATTTATAGAATACATTTTTTATATCATCTGGAAGTTAAAAGACATCAGATTCTGGTTACCATGCTAATTTCCACAGTGTCTTTAAGGTAATTATTGGTCGATCAAGTTATGGTTGTGTTGGTGATTTTGTTAATGGTTCTGTTGCCTCATAAAGGTCTCACATATTCAAATCTGAATAAATGTTTGGTGATTTTATTACCTTGGTGAAAAGCTGGCAGGTGACAGCAACAGACTGGGACTGGGGAGTTGGGCCACACCTCTCTTGGACTGAGGATGTTCTGGGGTGGTCAGCGCTCGCTTCTGAGAGCCCTGCAGTCACAAAGAGATAGGAATACATTTACATTTGTGCTTTTTACCAATCCGGTTTCAAAGAAAGCACATGTCAATAAACTGGAAATTACAGCAGTTGAGCAGACCAAATAAACAATTTGGGTTGACTTTTAAGAGCTGAGCTATACAAGATTTTCTCATTTGGAATCAGTAATGCATTTTTATCTGTCCGTCTATATTTCCATAATGTGTCCCCTATTAATCTGTCTCCAATTTTTCTTACTTTGGCAGGTGTTGAATAGGAATCCAGCATGCTCTCCTCTTCCTCTTCTGCACGGATTCTTTGAGACTCTGTTAAAGAATCTATTTTGATAATTTATAGTGAAAAAAAAATGGATTACATCAAATTAAACCCAGTGATGGTTTGAGTGATAAGGATACAGTTCCTGAATAGAATTGATGTCTCTTGTCTTGTTAAACTGGCTTCCCTTTGATGAGCCTTTAGGCTTTTTCTTCTTGTTCAGTATCTGTAAGGAGCACATAAGCAGTATACAAATCAAGAAGGGAAACATATGGGGTTTTATTTATTAAGGCATCTCAGGAGATCTCAGAATATCTATGTTGCAGTTATCATGTTTTGCACACTTGTACTAACTTCATGTTCAAACTGGTCCAGGTTATCAAGAGTGAGCAGCAGCTGGTCTTTACTGGAGCATAGATAGATAGATAGATAGATATAGATAGATAGATAGATAGATAGTGAATTTATGAAATAAATTATATTAACAAAAATTAAAACAACAAATAATAAACTCGGTTGACATTTACTTTTATCCACAGTGTCATTGTTGAAGGCTATGTTGAAAGTGTCCAGTTCAGATTTGATGTCCTCTGTAGTGACTGATGCCATTGTTGTTGTGTCCTCTGATGTTCAAAAATTCTGAATCTGTAACATTAGAACATAATAAAGAAGATGCATACATGTTCCGATTCCGAATAACAGATTTCATCAATCGCAATGTTAAAATCCCGCTGAATAAAACACTGAACTGGCGCTGAATTTTGCTTTCTAAATACAATTTTATTCAGCGGAATATAAAGCTCAAAATAAGAAAGTTATCTTCAACACACATTATATTATCATGTGAAAGCTTACCTTCTATATTAATATAAAAACTCAGTTGTAATATTCATCAACAGTCTTTGTATCGCGTTCAGATTGCCGCGAAAATGTCCCCGCAACAACAGCTGTAAAAAGGTCACGTCCGGTTCCTCCACGCGTCCTCCACGGCGCCAGAGGGAGCTTGAGGCGATTCCGATCAGCTGAAAGGAACCTGCAAAAGTTGCTGCACGTGTTTATGATAGCGTGAACGTATTCACACATTTGTACTGTATATTGCACAGTTTGGAATCTCAAACATTATTTATCAAAATGCCGAAGGTTAAAGCTGAGAAAAAATCTCGACAACACCAGGAGGTGAAGAGTCAAGGTAGCTTACCTTCGTGTTTTGTACTGCATGCTACATGACTAAGAAAATGATGCCTGTTTTTCGGACCATAAAGAATGTTTGCATTGTGACATTATTTTCATGACATTTAAGCACATTTTCACCCGAAGGGACATCACTGTAACGCATCATATAGCTACGTTTTACATTTGATGTTCTCTCTCTCTCTCTCTCTCTCAAGCTTAAAGTTTTTTTGCTTAATTGTCATGCCAATAATATCACAAGGTTGGAAATTTGGCTTATTTTTCTTTGTGGGCTATTATTGGACACCATAAATCCTGCAGAATCCCTTCTATTAAAATACATTTCCAAATTGTATTGCAGGAAGTGCAACAAGATTTCAACATCACTCAAAAAATTGAAAGCATCCTTCAAGAGTCGAATTTTAGCGACAAGAGGGCACGTTCCATGGATATAGATGATTTTATGGTGTAAGTATGACGCTTCACTTCATAAAAAATACTTTTTAATGCTTGTTCTTTGGGGGGGGTTTCGTTAAACATCTTTTCTGCATCCATATTTTCCGGTAGGCTTCTTCATGCGTTCAACTCTGCTGGGATACACTTCTCCTAAGATTTAAGAAACAGGAAAAAGCTACTAGGCTGACAGGAAGTGATGTCACAATCTTCTCATATTCTGGTTGATGCTATGTGAAGAAATGAATGATATTTCTTTTCAATGGACATGCAGTGGGACCCCTAATCACTCAGGCTGGAAATGTTTTGTGCCTTTCCTGAACATCATTCAGATGTAAAACTGGTGACTATTAAGAGGATTTGAAGAGGACATCTTGGGTTTTTATTACTTATCTTTATGTACTTGCTCTGCAGTTGTGAGTACACCAGTTTACTCTTCATATAAGTGAGGTTGTCATAAAGAATATTAATCTTCATCCCCATCAATCTCCGCACTTAATACACAACATACTGTCTTACCCACTGTGTACTGCTAAATACTGATCTGTCAAAGTGAGAAATGATAAACTGCTAACACTTTACAATAAGGTTCAGTTGGTTAACCTTAATGTGTTTATCAGCTGGCGTGAACTAATTGATGGCATTTTTACAGCATTTTGTATCTTAATAATGTTAATTTATAAATACTGAAATTAATTTAATTTAGTTTATAGTGAAATAACTAAAGTTATACAGTCTGGAATGTTAAACTTGTATTATATATAAAAATTTACTTCAATTAATAAATGCTGTAAAAGTATTATTCCGTGTTTGTCCATGCTAGCTATTGCTTTAATGTTAAGTTGGAACTTATTGTCTAGTGTTACCTAGAAATCTTTATTAACGTTCAGGTAAATGTAGTGTGTAAACTTTGATGTGCAAATATAATGACTAATTATGTAATAGGTGATTGACCTATTCTCAGATTCATTTAAGGCATGTTTCTTAGAAAAGTTTAGCTGTACAAGATCAATAAAACTATTAAAAAATGTTTTGTTAACTTCAGTATTAAGAAATTTAAAATCAAGAACAGAGTCTATATACATCTGCATATAGATCTTTGGACTTAAATTGTGATGTCAGTGAAGCTGAGTTTCAGATCCTCCTCCCGTTTTGATGCAGGAGGAAAGTTAAAGATGGAAGTCTGAACTTCAGAAAAGTTGCTTTGATGCAACAAATGCTTTTTAAAAAAAAATTTAAATATTTTTTTAGCTGCATGATAAGCAGCACTTGAGTAAAATCTTGATTCAAAGCTTTTGATTACATCATGTTAGGCTTACCCATACTCTTTAGGGAGGTGAATGCTTTACCTTACACTGCCATGTTGAATAAAAATACAAATGAATAACTTAAGTGAGGCTCTTTTGTGCACCAAACACATGAGGACCATCCACCAGATACTGACCAACATCCTGAGTGTACTCTGCTAAAAAAAAAAAAAAAA